ACCTGAAAGCTCTGCTGCCCTACAAAAAAATAACAAGCAACATGCGTGCAGGAGCTGATAGCAACAGCCGACATGATTGAACTCATGAGCTAGAATAAGCCTGCATGAATATAAACATGAGACAGCCACGGGCAACAAAATGGGGAAGGAGAAAAGGGAAAAAGGAATCAAGAATTTCACTGAGTGATCTAAAGCACTGGGCAATTTCTAACATCCAGAAGCAATCACAAGTTTACAAAGACTGAGGGAAAGCTGTGTGTGAGGCAGTGAAACCTTCTGGAACCAAAGTCTGTACACATACACGCAGACACACACATATAACACACATAATAAATAGATCAGTGAAAAGGGAGGAATGGGAGGCTGGAAAGAGGTACATGAACAAATAAATGGATCCTGTATTTCACATATCTACATCTATCTAGCTTGCACAGAGTCAGGCAGCGAGCGCGGCTATAAAGTTTGTTATATGGAGCATCAAATTAGGTAAGAGATAAAAGCAGGCGGGAGCCTCATTTGTTTCATTTAGTGGTCTCATCATTTGATTCAAGCTGAGGTGAAATCTTTGAGATGTGTCTCCTAAGACTGTCTCATATCCTTTCAATTTGAAAATGTCGAGCGAGGCCTTGAGTGGTCGTTTGTTCTGAGCTTATACACGTTTATTATGAGTCCTCTGTTGTCATTTCAATTCATGGCTTTTTAAATCTTTCTGATGACGACATTTATTTCTCAGACGTTCTGCAAACAAATGGCCGCTTAACCTGATAAGATGGTCAAATTACTGTTATCTCCGCTTTCAGTCCTTTTAATTCATACACCTAGAAGGTGTCCAGTAATTAGATTCATAGAGGTTAGTTATGTCTCCAAATCAGATCCTAAAACTAAAAACCTACCTTACAGGAAAACTTTGGTATTTTTCAACCTGGACCCTGTTTTACCATGTTTTTGTGTCAAAGTTGACTAATGGAAGCAACAATTTTCAAAATTGGTCCACTATTGAGCAACAGAGCTGCAGCTGGCAGCCGTGAAACAGTGTGCAGGGTAATCTTTGGGGCCATAGTGCACTGTCAATGTATGTCCACTAAAAGTGCTTGTTTTTGCCACTGACAGGCTTGGATTGTTATTATAAGTGTCTGACAAAGAAATGAAACCTTTGTCTTTAGTTTTTGCTTGATCCAGTCTGTCTGTTATTGTGTTTAACCAATAGCCCTTTTCAACAGTCATGGGCTGGCTTGGCTTGGGTCTTGAGTAATTACATTTAAAAGCAGAGTGCTGATCAAAGCTTTAGTCCCCTGTTGCTTTTGCTGCATGTGTTTTTCCACAGCAGGGCAGGTAAGAGAAGTTTACCTGTTGGAGGTGAGCTGTTTGAAAAGTTGCAGTAACGGCTGCTTTCACTTTCCTCCCTGCTGTATTATTAGCCTTGCCTTTATTAAGGAGAAGCTGTTTACAAAGTTCCACTACTTCAGTAATACCACATTTCATTTCCTATAGATTCTTCACAATAAAAGCCCTGTTATTTTGTTATGTATAAACTTTTATTGCGAAGCAGCAAAATGAGGAAATGTTGAGTTTTCGAGCAGCAACTTCACACAACTAATTCAGCTGATGACAAACAAGCAAACAGTAAAATATATCTAAAGTACAAACAGGACACAGGAGAGAAACTAAACTCCAAACTACAGAGATTCAGTCAGAAGCTACAGACGTACTGAGAGCTGAACACACATAGACTTTTAAAACAACTTTCTCTCTGGTCTCCTGCAGACAGGTGAGTTCAGTCTCGCAAAACACACATGCTTGTTTGGGGGGGAGAACGGGGGTCGTTGGGGGGTTGATCGGGGTTGGCGAGACGTCACCGTTACCTGATGAGGGTGGGTGGCCTGGCTTAAGAACCTACTCCTAAGAAGGTCCATCTATGGCGGCTTCCACTTTAAGTGAACGCACACTAGCAGTCAGTATTGCCTTGAACATTATATCGTAGCCCGTTTCACGGCTGCCAGCTGCAGCGCTCTCGCTCAATACTGGACCAATTTAAAAAACTGTTGTTCCCTTTAGTCAGTTAGACACAAAAATGTGGGGAAAATTGGTCCAGGTTGAAAATTACTTCAGTTTCCCTTCAAAATCAAAATAATTGCTGTAAAAGCCAGTTTGAAGGATTGCAAATTCATTATATTGACTTAGATAAAATGAAAACTGCCATCCTCAGTGTGCCTCCTATCACTAGAGTATCTTCTGAAAACCTCCTGCTGTGCTCAAAGCCTTGGCGGTGGCCTTCCTCTGAGATCTCACATGAAAGCAGCATGTGCCCACTGAACTGTCATTAACCCCCACTGACTCACCCAAAACTCCCAACACACAGACACACATACCAAGAGTGCCAGGTGCACTTCCCAACCTGCTTTTCATTGGACTCCTTTCCAATAGATCACAGCATTTGTGCCAGCACAGCTCAAATTTCCACCCCATCACCCAGAATCAGAAGGTGAAATGATTGCGCTGCTTAAAGTCATTCATCATCTCGTGACCGTGAGGCAGCTCAGCTCTTCCTCACTGTTTAGGAGCAATTAATTTATTATATTGTGTTGAAAGTTAAATTCAGCAAAATTCAAATGTAATTCCACGCACAGTTTCACACTACTACACTACAGTACAACAGGAATGTAATTTTTGATCACTACGATGTAACTCGAGCGTGGAAAGTCTAATGAATGCAGTTCAACTCAGGGCTCTGGGGGTACAGATATCACCACCTCCTCGCTGCTTCCTCCTCCTTTTTGATTCAGGCTGCAGCTTAAAACTCCAAACAGCATCTCAAACTGCACTCAGGCTAATTCCCCAGAGAGAAACCCTGCATCACTCTCCCACTTTCCCTCCTCTAAGTCCCATGCTTTCTCTCTCTGTCATCATTGCTAAAAAAAAAAAAAAAAAAAAAAAAATCAAAGCTACAATAATTCATGAGTGTTAAGAGTGAGCGTGCATGTGAGTGTAGTGAGGGGGTGAGGGTCTGATTTTTACACAGCATGAGGAGTTTTCAGAAGCATTAGCTCCATTTTACTACTGCACGTGAGCGGAGAGACGACAGGAGGAGAGAAATAAAGAATTTGGATTTTTAGTCACATATAAATGAAAGCCTAAAAATCATGTCACTGAAAATGAATGAACATAACTCAATATGAATTAGGTTATTGCTCTCGACAGTAATCAAATAATGGTTAGCAAGAGATTTGCGAGATCCAAGACAGAAATTGTTCCCAGTGAAGATGAAAGGGAAAAGAGGTTTATGCAGCAGTGTTGATATGACTTCTGGAAAATACGCATTAACAGCAAAAAACTGCAGTGAGAAACCGCATCCAGCAATCAGTACGGATTTAAAAATTTCCAATCTCCAAACTGGCTTGGAGGAGGATGAAAGTTAATGAGGTTTCTTGTCAACAAAGACTTGAGCGCTGCGGCCCGACCTCTGGGCACTGTGAGTCACTCCGCTGCATTCGGTTTGGTGGCTTGTGTGTGGTTTTTTTTTTTAAATGTCTGGGCCACCAGCCGGGTCGAGTTTATTATCAAAACTATCAAACAGGCTACTCGTGGATGTCAGCTTGAGGACAAGATGCTAACAAATTCAGCCTCACTGGAGGCACATTCAATGCTAAAAGGAACTGTTGGTTTTTACACGGCAAATATGAAGTGCAATACGAGACCTTTGAGTCGATAAATGATGAAGGCTCCAGCAAAACAAAAATCAGAGCAGTTTTATGAGCAATAGACTGAACAAACAATAATAAAACAAAACACAAACTAGGTCAGATCAGATATACAGCAGACTGGCAAACACACACACACACACAAAGTGCAGAGCAGAGAATAAACAGACTTTTCTGTTTATGTCATTGGTTTAAAAAGAGGGAAAGCACCTTCCATGTTGCACTGCAGATGATCTAAAACTGTCTGAACATGTACTATTTGAACTATGTACTACATCACTGCATAGTTTACAGCAGAGGTTCCTCCACCCCCACACTCACTTTTCAGCTTGAAATGACACCATGAATGTATGTTATAGGAATGTATCTTCACTAAGAAACGACTAACACTGATGTAAATTATGTTACATGCAGTATATGAACTGATATAACATTAGAAAATATAGACCTAAATCATGATTACGCAGCAAAAAAAATAAAGAGAAGTCAGCAGTTTTAGGCTATGCAGATTTGTAGACACACACTGGACTTTAAACAAATAATGCAAACTTGCTTTTGTTTTGTTTAAAAGCAGAGCCATCATGTTACCAATCTTAGATTCTTCCATTTTGATGTGTTTGCAAATGTAACGTAAATTTGTTTCTTTGTGGTTAATGTAAATGTTGGCTTATTTTTTTTTATGTGGTGAAATGTCATTAAAATATACAGTTAAAAGAGGGAAGTAACAAATCTTCCCCTGGCCCCTGTCTTGAGGCACAGCACGATGAAGCGTATGGTGGCTGACAAGGGCCCAAAACACTGCGTTTGGGAGAAATATGCTGCAGCTTTAGAAAAGATACCAGTTCAAAAACACAAAGGAAACAGATTGATTTGATTGGAAACACGTACAAATGGATGATTATCAACCTGAGAGAGAGAAACCAGACGAGAGTGTGCGTTTGTTTTGTGGGAAGAAAAGTGGAGTAACGATGCTGCATAAAAAGGTACCTACATCTTTTATTTCTACATTTGGCATTAGTCTTTTAAAATACTATAAAAGAACAAAAGATTTATGTAACTACGTAATCAAGCTGTTTCACTAAGCGCCCCCCTGATGTCCTAAAGAACTTCCATTGTGCTGATTGGAAAAACAGTTATTGTCATTTCTTAGTGTGTTTTTGAATTGGCATATTTTCTAATGCTGTCTCCAAATAGAAATCTTTTAGGCCTTTGCACTTGTCCTTGTTGGCCACTGTACAAGCAGCCCCCACTTTAAGAACCAGCGGTTCACATAATAATACATTTATTTTAAAAGACGCTCACCGGCCAGCACGCCTGCCATGTAGAGCAGACTTATTCGTAAAATGCCATGGACCATCTCCAAAGGAACACCAATCATCAGCTGCAGTAAAGCATTGAACCCCAGCTGCTCCAAACTGAGGAGAGGGAGCACAGAAAGAGAACAATTACAATAAAAACATATATTTGTTCCTTCTGCAGCTGTGCAACATCAGAAATAGCTAATCAGATTTTTAAAAACAGTTCTGCAGACAACACGAGATAAGTAGGCGTTTGTGAACGTACCCAACGTGCATGAACATGTAGCTGAAGAAGCGCCACACTTGTGCACGGTGGCCAGGATGATATACCAGGGGGCTCTTCATGAAGTCAGGCTGATAGGTCTGCAGCACCCACTTGTTTAGCATGATGCCATAGCACATGAACACGATAATCTGCAACAGACACAGCAATGACACCACACTGTTTTAAACTGTCAGTTCTTGCTGACATACCCATTACACGCTCTCCCTCCACAGACTGCTGGTACAAAGGTGGCAATTGCGCCACAAAACAAAACCCATTGTGCTTTATGAAAGACACGTGACGTTTTCTTCTCGTTCTGTATTCCTCAGCTGATGCTTATTAGACTTGTGGAGACAATTACTGCCCGCAGAAAAAAAAATGACACATCTGGTTCAATTCCATTAATTTCTTTTCATAGAATAATGACTCATTGTCTCTGTGAATTAAAATGAATGTGAACCGTTATTATCACATCCTCATTGTCATTACAGACCATTCAATGCCATTTGGAGGCATTATAAGAGCACTTGGCTTTCTTTCCTCTGAATTATGATGATTTCAGGGGAAATGATGAAGTTTTGTGAAGAAGCTGTAGGTTATTTTGGCCGCTTAATCCTCAACCATTCAACAGTGGTCCGTGAAGGCTTCTAGGTTTCTTTTTTTTACAAATGAACATAATAGGTAATTTAATGCCACTGTGGTGACCAGGGTGCTTACTGACCTGGTTTCCAAGTTCCAAAATCAGTGTCTTACAAAAAAAAAAAAAAAAAAAAACGGGGGCTGACTGAGGGTTTCAGCTTGGAGGAATGGCATTAAATGCACCCACTAAGCCCCTGCCTCCCAAATGGGTTACCAGCTCATATCGAGCTCACAGTAAAAGCGTGTGATCAAAGGCAGAAAATCTTTTCAGTGGCGACTGAGCCAACACAGTGGTCTAAAGTCCGGTTTGTGGGTTAGTAGCACATACTCAAGAAAAATATTGCAGCCCATGTTTTACTGTAGGAATATTTGAATCAGTGGGCTGCACCAGTGGAATAGTCTACATTCAGTTTAGCGTCTCACAAGTCAATAACATCACCTTCTAAATCTCACCTGTACGATGGTGACGATGGCGATGAAGACAGGTGGAGGACACAGGCGGTTCTGGTGGAAGTACCAGCGTCGGTCCGTCTCGCAGGGCAGGATCTCGTAGGCCACATAGCGGACAAAACGTTTGTACAGACCCAGCCCCGTCTCGTCCAGCAGGATCTCCCTTTGCAGCGTGCGGCGGCCATTAGCAATGGCCCGTCGGAAACTGCTGGAGCGCTTACTGCTCATCTGGGAAGAAGGTGGAGAAACATGCAGGTGTCATTTCCAAGAGTCCAGTGTAGTTCAGCTGCTAAGAAACTCAGAGGAACAATGAACACTGTTTTCCAATATGACTGATGGGAGCTAAAAAGTCATCAGTTTACTTACTTATACCGAGACATATTTCACATTATTTAAAGGAATAGTTCAAACATTTTGAGGATGCGCTTTTGCAGTTTTTGCTAAGAGTTAGGCCCTGTCTACATGTACAGAGATATTTTTGAAAATGAATATTGTCCCCTACATTTTGGCCTCTTGTCCAAATACAAACTGAGGTGCAGATCTTTCAAATCTCCAGTTACTTTCTTTAAATAGAGAGTTTGGGAAAGGATGACGTCATCTCCTCAATTTACGCATGCCTATTGTTGCTTTGTGTAACAGCAACAACGGTGGACAATGTTACACTTAGTACTGCTAAGGATGCTAGAACTGCGCTCAGTGTTGTTTGTTCCACCTCAGTGTTCGTGGTTTAAAGTCCACCAGAAATGACAATTTTGGATGATCAGGACCAGTCGAACCAGCAGATAGTGGGACAATTTTGAGAATGGGATTCCTGTCGATGAGGAGTGAAAGGAGGTTTCATATGTCCACAGCATCATTCATATTTTTTAATGAGCTCTTTCATCCTCATATCAAAAGGGAATCAATGGTGAGATCTTCAGTAGGTGTTTTGAAAAAGGTAACGTTTGCCTGTACACTTTACTGCCTTTGCAACAAGGGGAGAGTGTGGGAGCCTGCGAACGCCGGCCAGCGTTTGAAGTCATTTCTGTATTCTAGTATTTACAGAGATATTTTGTAAATCAAAGATTGAATGGACACATTTGTTTTCTTAAATCGGAGGGGGAAAATATCCATTTTTAAAAATATCCGTACACGTGTAGACAGGGCCTTAGATGAGAGGATCGAAACCACTCCCATGTCTGTATATTAAATATGAAGTTACCACCAGCAACCTCATAAAACAGGGAAACCTGTTAACCCAGCTCTGACCAAAGGTTATAAATCTGCCTACCAGCACCTCTAAAGCTCACTAAATAATGAACGCGTTAAATCTAATTTAACTTCCTGAGGGCTTAACATCAATGTGAGGTTGCAGTTGAGGTTGGTAGGCAGTGACTGCAAGGCCAAGAAATAGTCACATAATTGGCATATAATCCCCTGTGAAACCACAACTTGTTTTTACACTTCAATTTTGTACAGATTAAACAAACAACATATAATGTGTTAATTAGTGAGATTTAAAGAATCTGGCAGGCGTTTTTGTTACCTTTGGACAGTGCCAGGCTGTTTTCCAGTCTTAACGCTTAGCCGAGTTAGCTTAACCAAGCACCAGCCATTTAACAGACAGATATGAGAGTTGTGTCATTCTTCTCATCGATATCTCAGCAGGAGAGAAAATGAGCGTCTTTCACAAACATCTTTAAGAATGGATGAGAAACATTTTTTTTTAGCTGATAGACTCGCTCATTGTGACATTAAGGAATCAGCAGACAGCTCATTCCCTGTGTTTGTTTTTGCCACTCGATGACTTAATGTTTCTGCAAAAGTCTCGTCTCGAGTTATTTTATGAGCTTTACTTTCAGCAGCTGGAGGACACCTCACCAGGATGAACAGATCTCATCAACGCTTGCTGCTGAATTTTTCATTTTTTAGCAATTAAATCCATAACTTTCTTCACGCTAAGTGGATCAAACATCAGTAAAGGAGGATAGCTTCTTTTCACATGAACTGAGGGAGGCTCATCAGTGTGACTAATCATCCTAGATGGGGCGCCAACATTCATGAAGTACTGATTTCACAAGGGATAGCATGACGGTTTATGGAAGTTCTACTTTTACGATCAAATAATCAGGGGAAAGAAATGACACTTATCTTGATGCAAGACTTTTTCTGTTTTTCTGACATTGCTCAGAGGCTTTAATGAACAGTGAAGCTTCTCTTTTGCTATTAATGCTTAATGGTTGTACTTTTTGCACTTCTTGCTGCCTTCAATGCGTGTACTTTTAAAAATACTTTATGTGTGGCTTCAAGGTTTCAAGAATCCCTTTTTTTTTTTTTTTTTTTTTTTTACATGTGTTGACTAATGGAAAATACTCAGAACACCATGAAAGCTAAAGCGCTGAGAACAATTTCTCACACAAAATGATTAATCAGCATCTTAAAATGGCTTAATTCTTCTCATGTGACACAAAGATAGACGACAGACATTTGTACTGAAAGCATTATGCAGATGTTGGTAGAAATACTGACTATACATCAGTTGAGTACATTAAAATTACAGCAAAACCTTCAACTCAACTGAAGTGGGAGGTAAAAATAATGCTTCATGCTTAATACATCTACAATGAAAGTCAATTTTGTTCAACTGGCGTTCAAAATAAAACGTATTTTTCCTCATATCTCAACAGCAATTAAAATATTAATATCACAGCCATGTTACACATATAAACAACTCCCTTTTTGCCACAAGAGAGATGACAACTGCAGCTGAATATTCATGGCTGATAAGAAACTTAAATAATGTATAAGTGCTTTTTGATTTAGACGGAACGTGAGCGTGACTGCCAGCAGGGTTGATTGCAGCTCAGACACCCTAACAAATGGGGCTGTTGGAGTGATTTTGCCCTTGAAAAGCAAATCTTTGTTAAGAGTGGAAAGAGAGAAAGTATGTGTATTCATGTTATCACAGACTCCAGGTCTGCTTACTGAGCAGGAGCTCTGCAGCAAACCTGCAGGCCAGCGGGACCAACTCTTGATAAGTTCTTTAATAGAGGCTTAGGATGAAAATTATCCAAATGCCACTATTTTGACAGCCGAGGCAGGGAACCATCTGGGTAACAACACACACAGAGGGCTCTTTTCCGCCAGAGTTACCACTGAAAATACTGTCTGACCGGCTCCCCACAGCAGGGCTCCTTTAGAGTTAATGTCTGCATTTCCTTATAGAAAACAAGCGTGCAAGCTTCACAGGTAAGATCTACTTCATGGCTGATACTCAGTGGCACTGCCAGATGCCTGAAGTCTCTGGTGTGGCTAAAACAATATAGCTCCTTTGAGGACAACTGACTGACTATGCAATTATCTCTAAATCAAAATATGTGCTATAATGTAATGTGACAATGAATTTCCAGGAAAAGAAGTGGAGGAGAAAGAGGGCATGTGGGCAGCAGCTGCAACTGTTAACCGTGTAAATCTACAACAGCAGACCTTATGTATAGGTGTCTAATAATAGTAATCTCAGACAATATGGCAGCCTCATAAGAAGTGTAATGAAACCTCCAGAGGGGTCCTGTAGGAAGTACACTTCGCCATTAAAGTACACCACTCATTAGCCAGGTCCTGCTGCGTGTAGACTCATTATATGTAGACACAGCAGGGGGCATAGTGAAAGAAATTGTGGGTCAATATCTATAAAAGCTAATGAGTTAAATATACTGGAGGACAAAGACTGTAAATAAATGAGCAAATAATGAAGAAGTAATGAACAGATTGCTCCACAAATGGAGCAGCTGCCTTTTTTTTCCCTTTTTAAGAAATCACTCAGGAAAAACAGCGGAGAAAAAAAAGTGCTAATCCCTTTTGGAAGTTAGCAGAGCAGGAAGTGGTAACTACCCTAACTGTGGGTAATTATGACACTGGTGGTTGTACAGTGAGGGTGTGAGGGGCCTGTTGCACAGTGATAACCAGAACGATGTCGAGCTGGGCTGCTGGCTCTCCCACAGATGGAGGAAGGCATATTTAGTATGGAAATCAGGCCTGGAAAATGCAATTATACTATACTTGAGGCTGGGAGTGAAAGCAGAAGAAGAGGAGAAGAGGGACATTAGAGTGCAGAGAGGGGGGAAATTAAGACGGGAAGATGAGATGCCTGCCTGGGTGAGCTTGATTCTGTGTGCCACCAGTGGACAGTGAAGGTGATTCATCTCCTTTCTCTTTCTAAATATCCTCATATTGTTAAATTCACAATGAAAAGAGGAAGTGGGGTGGAATAAAGAGAGGTTAAAGGGGACCTATTATGCTCATTTTCAGGTTCATACGACTATTTTGAATTGCTACAAGAACACCTGTATTCACCCTCTATTTCAAACGCTCCATTTTAGCGCCCACCTCTATAAGACCCCCTCCCGAAAAAGGCCAGTTTGCTCTGATTGGTTGGCGTTTCCAGGTCTTCCACATCCTGATGTCTCTGCACCATCATTACAGCCGGGAAAATGACTGTAATGGAGGATAGCATTACTTTCTACCATGAAAAATCACCAATAAAAGCTTCTAAATCAAAATCTTCAAAACTGGACATGTTCCAACAGGAATATGATCTGAAGTTGAAACTGAAATATGATCTCAGAGTGAAATTGACAACATCAGCAGCCAAGATTACAGGTTTCTTTGATGTTAGCATGTAGCTACATGTAGCAGTGTACGTAATGTAATGCTGTGTCTCAAATCGCGTACTTCGGTTAGTACACTTCCATGTAGTATACTATGTGCACTATGTACTTATTGGAGTGGTGCGTGAATTTCGGCAGGGTAGTGTTGTCTCAAAGCAAACACTGCCGTAGTGCACTTACCGGAAATGACAACCCTAGTGTTAGCTAGTTAGCAAACTAGGCGAGAAGTGTCCATAGTTTCACACTCAACCTCTTGACCGTTTTGAGTGCACCATCCAGGTACTCATAGTGCACTGCATTTTCCCATACTTCTCAGTGTGAATGCACTTATGCACTCAAAATATTAAGTGTAAGTACAGAAGTGCGCGATTTGAGACACAGCATAAGTTCAAGTAGCCTGCCTGGAGCCATATAAAGAAAGCCATCACGAGGTGACTTCAGCTTGTAGCCACAGTAGAGAAACAGTTGGAAACAGAGTACTCAGAACAGTCTGTACTCCGAGGTTTCTGCTCACAGGGATTACTTTTACATATGTTTACCTCATTATTTGAAACTTTGGCTGCATTTAAAGAAACGTTGTGT